GATACTTTGGTGTCACGGTTCAATATTTTTTTCGATACAAAAAAATGTTTGTGCCTTTTTAATTTCTCATTTATTAAAATTATGAATAGATATTTTAACTCAAAAGCACAGTTTTTAAATTTAATGTTGCTGAAACAACAAAATAAATAAAAAAAAATAAATCTATCTGATCGAGAAATCACTCATCTTTAGAAATAGAGTTTATTACAGAGAAATGGCTCTTTCCCAAATAAAAGCTATACTATACGCTTCTTCTGGGCTATATTCTCAGCAGCATATTAAATGCATATGTGCAGTCATATTCGTTGTGTTCCCACTAGTGCTGTCAGCGTTAATCTTGTTAAAATGACATTAACGACATAATGCCGCAAATCTCCATTAGAAAGTTACCGCATATCGCTCCGTGTGTGGGGCTGGATGGCGTCAACACGTTAGCAAGCTAACTGCACTAACGCACTAGTTCCCACCAATGTAATTGAGATTGCGTGGCACATCCAACATACTGTTTTACTTTTGTCCATGACGCGCTTACCTTCAGGGTCATACGTCACATGAAAACCAAGATAGTTCTAAACGCCAGATCTGAATGAGGGTGGGGGAGGTTCAATTCCGGGTAGCGTTGAGGCAGTTGCCATGTTGCAACGAGCTTAGCTTCTGTCTCACTAGCTTGCGCTGCGCTCAGTGGATCTGCGCTCGACAGTGCAGCCTAGGCGGAGTAGTCGAACGCAGATCCACTGAGCTGTTGGTTAGCACTGATTATTTATACATGGAATGTTTTCTTTGTTTTTTTTTTGTTTTTGTTTTTTTGGTTGTTTTAACTCTTGATACTGTATGGTGTCACTGAGAGGTAATATGCTTATCATGTTATCTCAGATACAGAAGCCACACTGACCTTGTTCAAATCAGATAATCCTGTCATTAAAGGAAAAAGAATGGCCCCGCTGTTTCAGCTCATGAATTCAGTGGCTGCAATTAAATATCGGTATAAAGATAGAGATTGTTTTGAACTGTAAACCATGCAGAGATACCATAGTAACGTCCAATAATAAAATATATGGAGGTGGCCGTGAAAAAAATAAGTCTCTTTAAAATTCCCAGATTGTAGCTGACTGTTAAAAAAAAATAAAAAATCTTTCCTTTGTCTTGTTTTCTTCAGCCTATAGTATATATTTGTATTGCAAGAGCAGTGCAGAATAATAACTGAGGCATGTGGAATATTTACATTATGCATTGTGGGCTATATTCGCAAAAGTGTTTCCAATAATTTCACTACTGCATCTCTGTGGTCCCCAAAGGTAAGCTACTGCTATTATGCCTAATAACTAGAGCTACAAAAACATGAGTCATTAGTGGAATTAATGAGCAGAGTAAGCTCACTGTAAGCTACGACTTTTCAAATTCATACCACAAAATGAAACACCACGCTAATCATTTTCTGAGGGTTGCACTACAAAGATAACTCTGGTTCTTATTGTGTGTATTTTTTCTTTGCATCATCTGCAGAAAACCAAAGAAGAAGCTGAGGAGGCCATAAGAATGTGACATTGCTGGAGATTAAAAAAAAAGTTCCCCTGAATTGTATTTAACCCTTTAATGCCTAGTGCGTCATATTTCATGCATAGCCTACAGTTTTTTGCCAGTTTTTG